ATTGTCGACGAGCAAGCGAAAGCAATTGGTGGAAGAACAAGCTGGTGCCGCGGAAGCCCAGCCCCTTGACACCTCTCAGAGTCTGCAGCGAAAAGGCGGAAGCGATGCTTTCTATGTGTCCCCGAAAACTGTCCGATTGGTCACTCCCCAGTGTGCTTCCTGGGTCTCGTCCTGCTTACTCTGCTCACAGACACTACGGCAACTGCAGCAGTCTCCGTAGGAAAATTACGTGATTGCTAGCACTTCAGTCAATAAAATGCTTGTTTCAGGTAACATCGCCAAAGAATTGGGACCCATACCCACAAAATAATGTGTACTTCCTCAATCAAATCATCATGACTGCACAGGTGATCTCTTTTTTCAACTGCACAATCTGACGAGTTCTCGTCTTTTCAGCGAAAGCTTCATTTATCTAGAAGGGGGCACATCATCGGGAAAATGGTCAGGAAAAATTTTGGCTAGATGCGACCCCCTCCAAATTTTCTTCTTCGGTGCGGCCTTCTCCAATAACCCACTCAATAGCTTACTAAGTATTTTCAAGGTATTACCATGTTCCTTGAAACTTCCCGTCGAGCGGAAGGAGGGTATTTGGAACGATGGCGCTCGTGAAACGGGAAAAATTAACAAAATCGATCCCCCTTCCCCACCTCCGCAGCAGCTGCAGTTGATACAGTCGCAATCAGCGGAATCTGTCGAGAGACGAGTGTGCACCAGCAGCGTTACCAATGTTTGCTCTGACCCGAAAATCCACTCGTGATTACTATTGGGGCGAAAACCGCAGCCGTGGTGTTTCATTCTCCTCTTATGCCGCTTAGAGTAATAGCGATCGTATCAGCTAAATATCAGCGGATTCAAGCTTTCGTTCTTCATATTTTCTATAAATGATAATTTTTTGAAGAGGTATGGAATTGGGCTTGGCTTCTACACCAACTATTACGATTGGACCCAGATTACGAACAATGCGTGGGCGAGTAATTCTCAACTCTGGTAGGTTTCTACGATTCTTCAACACAAAACAATTGTTCCGCAGATGGTGGCCTTGTTCGCTACGGATGCTGGGGCGTGTTGGGGGCCTGAGTTTCTTAAGGAAGAGACTAGCCACAAGAGCTTGTAGAAAATAGGTGGCATCACGGCAAGCCCGCCACCACCCCCCCCCCCTTGACACGCCTGCATCCGCAGTAAACATGACCGTAGTTAAGGACATCCGTGAGGACGCGAGAGTGGCGAGAGACATTCTTGCAAATGGTGTGAGATATATAGCATTCGCGCCGGGACCCAACTAGTCTAACAAGGCAATGCTGCGATGTGTCAAAGAAACCAGTTGAGGGCAGGGCACGCCATCGCGTTGTGATCATTTTCTGAAAATACGACCCCCCCCCCTAATTCCACACTAAAATACAGTGAAATTACGGCCACCCCTAATTCCAAGCTTTAAAAATACGGACCCCCCCTTTCCCAGCCCTCTGTCCTTGCCTCATCGAATCGAGCCGTCCGAGCGGGGGGGGGGGGGGCAGGGCAGGGGAGAGAGGCTCTGCCGGCTCCCCCCCCCCAAACCCAAAAACCAAACTATAATCGAAAAAAAATTTTTCTCTGACCAAATACGACCCTCCCTCCCCTCGCGGTCAAATACGACCCCCCCCCTTGTGATGATCACAACGATGGCGTACCCTGGTTCGCCCAGGTCATACGGCAATTTGCGCGCGATATCGCCTCTCGGATGTCTTGAACTACACCTTCATACATCTATACAAAAATTACTATCTACTATTTCACCTAGGTACTGGAACGTACTGGGAGGTGGACCACGCGGTGAGACTCCTGCAAACTTCAACGATTTCCGCTCATTTGGCAACTGGCTCACACCGACCGTTAAACAGTTCGCTCAAGTTGAGAATATCTGTGGAATAACAGTAAATCGGTGAGTTTGCACAAAATATCTTTTAGTTCGGAGGTGGTGTGGTGGCATATGGCACAGCTTGTCAAGCGTCTGAAGTCCCAAAGCGAATGCTGCTTAGTCCCATGGGCCCTCAACCCCTCAAGGGCAATTAGCTCTCCTCCGTGGATATGAGTCCTTGCCATGTGCGAGGTGAATGGAACCGCAGCTGCAGTAGCGGCCACTTCCTCCGATTGGAACTGCGTATGAATGAGGCTGGTGCGTAGTGAAACACGAGTGCCATTCTTGGACTTCTCCCGCTCTGCTAGCCACAAGCTTAACCATAGCCAAACATGCTACTTGCCTGCGCCCTCTCAGTTCTGGTTGATCTCTGCCGCTGCATGCGTGTTTCGCTGCTGGACCTTGACATCGACGCAAATGCTGCACCTTGAGGATGGCGAGAGAGGAGTAAAGAGACGGCCTCCGGATACCCCTACCTTTCACCTCCGTTCCCTTGCAATTTGAAGTGGAGCGATTACTGCGGACTGATTCACCTCGACCATAGCGAGGACCATCTTCGGGGATGAGTGTACAGTTTGTCTTGAGATGATCCTGGTACCGGAAGGCAGGAGTTTTGAGTAGCTCGTGCACGTTCTGATCTGCGAACTAAACATGCAGCAGGGACAATGCTCCCCAATGCCTCGCTTGCGACGCTTGTCAATTGAAAATAACAGAACGTATGTGGAATATGGGGAATGAGAGACTTTTTTGGGCGGGATAGACCATCGAAGCTGATTTTGGGATTATGTCTCAGAAAGTAGCTTGAAAATATCTACTTTAGGGATGTCTATTCTACGAACGGTATGAAGGACTCGGTGGCGGTGGTGAATGGAGAGATCGGCAAAGGTCCAGTAGTGGGTGTAACGTTTGGAACCGTTGCCTTCGAAGGACTTCTACAAAATAAATGATCGACTAATCGATTAGTAAAGATCTGAGCATTTTCTCTGGATTTTTTGAGCATTTTCTTGTTAGCATTTTCTTAAGATTTTTTTTGCATGCATAGCTGATAATTGTTTTACTTTATTGAACTGGGTAGAGACACTTGGAATTGAATCGCTCTCTAAGGCGATCCAGTTCTCATGGAATGGTGAACATTATTACAA